TTTTCTCCAAGGCTAGCATTAGCTTGCACTGAGTTAGCAAAAGGCTAAGTAGCATGGAAGAGACATTTCTACGTTTCTTTACAGGTGGATTAGAATGAGCTCCTTCAGAATTTATGAAGGAGAATACAGGCTAAGGAAGGGAGGGAGTGTGGTCCTGGGAGAGAATTCAAGATGACCAGTAGCACTTCATATACGCAGCAGGCAATTTTCCCACAACCTTAACAACAAAAGGCAGGAATTTTAGCAGGGCCAACAGGTTGGGAGAAACACCACACAAATAAAGGGAGGGAAACATAGAATGACATAAAGAAACATGTGCCAATCAAGTTGTTTTGTTTTGTTTTGTTTTTTGAGTTGGAGTCTCACTCTGTCACCCAGACTGGAGTGTAGTGGCATGCTCCCAGGCCACCGCAGCCTCAACCTGCTGGGCTCTGGTGATCCTTCTGCTTCAGCCTTCCAAGTAGCTGGAACTACAGGCGCATACTACCACACCTGGCTAGCCAATCAAGTTTTTAAAAGACAACATGTCCCATCAAACAGTATAACTCAACCAGCTTTTTAGCAGATTCAAAACAACAGACACAAATAAGAAAATGAGGAGTATAGGAAATATCTGTTTCGTCCTCCTCTAGCCATACTCCTCACAAAGATATTTCAGACACCTCTTAGCAATTGGCAGGTTGGTACACCCCCAGCGCAGACTAACTTTATGCAGAGCCCTCCCACCCTGTCCGTCTCATTCACACACAATCACACAGCACATTCTTCAACTCTCCGCCCTAATCCTAGGAGTCTACAGGTTCATCTTCAGACAATGTTGCCTTCCACTGCCTTTCAGCCCTTTCCCTCAGGCTGAAGATTACTAGCGGACTCCAGGAGGTGATCAAGCTCCTCTTCTGCCATCCATTGGCAGTTCTGTGCAAAGGCCCTTATTCTTACCCTTTCCGTCAGGTGGTTGTCCTTATGCCGGTTCCTTGCCTCTTTGGTCCCTGTTGTGCTTTCGTGGTCTGAGCCTCAGTGCGCTGGGAGTGGTCTCCCTCCTACGGATCAAAAGGTCCATTGCACACCAGGTGAGATTGCCCTTCCCATCGCCCTGGAGGTCGCACCCCAATGACCAAGGAGGTGGAACACACCATCTCCAAACTCCTTTCCCGGCCAGTGCACCAGAATAATGTTGCGGGAAGGTAGAGAGGTCATGACACCGAGACTATTATAGGAAGTGGCAACTTTATTACGCTGGCGGGCTCGATGGGCTAACACTTCCAGGTCGAGTCCCCCAGAACGGGAGAAAAGGGGTTCCATACCTTCGCTTAGGTAAGGGAAGGGGTTGTGCCAAGCGACCACACATTTTCCTTAGAATTCGCAAAGTTGTGTTCAGAAAAATGAGATCTTTCAAAGAACAAATGGTCTCCAGGAAATTCAGGGAGAGCAGGAGTTATAAACTGACAAGGAGAGCAGTTATGAATTAGGTACTCTTTTGCATTTCCATGAGAGCCATCAATCCCTGGCCACCTGGCTTCTCTTTAAACAAAACTGGTCTGGTGGGTCCTCAGAGCCTGCCGCTCGACTCTCAAAAGGAAACACCCTCAACTGCTACCAGTTCCCTTCCTACCACAACCGTAAATGGCATATTAAGTGATGGGGGCAGCCCTGCCAGCATTAGGAGTTGTATGTGCCCCTGGCATTCTGGGACTAGATTCAGGTTGACTGATATAAATGTCCAGGCCCAATTCTCAGCTGAAGCCTGACTAATTCTGTTATCTGAGTGTCTATCATGGAGCTGCAGTGGAGGCGCACGACTGAACACCTGCCTTTATTCCCATTTCCACAATTAAACCTCTGCTTCTGTCTCCGTGTCTGGACCTCCCGCCACAACAGGAGGCTGCAGAGGGCTTGGGAGCAAGCTCAGGGCAGTCCAGATATTGATTACCCCTTTCTATTTTCTTCATAGTCCTCATCACTAATTATGTGCCTATTGTTTGATTGGCTTCCCCACGACTATGTATCTCCACTCTGCCCATCTGAGGGACCTTGTTCATATTCCTCCACCTGTCGGGGCATCTGCTTCCTCCATAAAACGAAGATACCAATAACAGACTTTATAAGGTTGTCATGAAAGTTCATCGATGAATGTCAAGTGCTTAGAACAGCACCTGGCATACAAGTGCTCAAGAAATATCAGCCAAATATTAACTAGGTGGTATTTGGAGAAAACTGTACTGATTACGTATTTTAAAAAATACCAGTCTTCATGCTTTGATATTTTAGGTGAGTATTGCAGAATTTATTAGAAAACTTGATAATGGTTTCATGTCAGAATTTATTCAACTTTTTTTGAGCCTCTACCATATGCCAGGAACAGTAATTGACAGTAGTAGAATTCCAGATTTGACATTTATCTAAATTTTAGATTAATTGTGGGTTAAGTGTCTGTTAATTGTTTGACTTGTGGAAGTTATCTTGTTACTCTCTCCTATGCCAATAGTGGATTTCATTGTTCTTGAGAAGGCAATACTTCTTTCTAGTGAGCCAGCCCAGGAAGTCCCAGCAGGTGGCACTCTTTCCACCAAGTTGGCAGATCCTGTTGTGTCCCAGTGCATTAATGGGTGAGGATGTCTTGGAGACAGGCTGTAGTTAGTGGGTTCACACGGGCCTCTGACCTATCCGCCACAGAGTTCTCCTTTTCACAGTAAACTTGCCTCTCTTCAGCCTGCTTGTGGCTTCTTGCCACCCCCACCTTTCTTCACAGAAGAGCCTAGAGGATGATGGTATTGTGCTCAAATGCTCAAATCTATTTCTTGTATGATTGAGTGAATAAACAGAAACATATGTAGCTGATTCAGGATCAGCAGTTGGCCTCACCTGGGCTGCCACTAGCCCAGCGGCAAGAAGGAGGGGATAATAGCAGTTAAAGGTATTTCCTTTTGAAAGGCAAGTTGCAACTTTAAAGACCCGCCAGGCGGCCATGCAGGTTTTGTTTAAGAAAGGCCAAATGGCCCAGAGACTGGCTATTTCATGGAAATGGAAAAGAGTCTTATCTAAAAACCCCCCTTCTGAAGCTGGCGGTTTACCATCCTGCAGTTCCTGGAAACCATTTGTTCTTTGAAAAATCTGATTTTGCTGAGTACAACCTTGTAAGATTCCAAAGGAAGTATGTAATCACTCAACACGACCCCCCTCCCTTACCTAAACAAGGGTGTAAGACCCCAGGTCTCCTGTTCTGGGGCACTCGGTTTGGACGCATTAGTTCCATTGAGCCCGCTGTGCTCGCCAGCATAATAAAGTGCCACTTCCTATAATAGTCTCGGTGTCATGATCTCTCTATTTTTCCTGCTACAGTATCATAGGAAAAGATGTTGCTGGGAACCAGCCGGGGCAGAGGAACACATGGAGCGCAAGGGTTTGGAGTGGCTCAGTTGGACTGGGAGGTTGGCTGGGCACAGGCTTGCCCGGCACAATTCCGCCTGTGCTTGAGTTTCTTCATTGGTAAAATGGGTGTAGTAAAAACAGTGCCTTCTCTCTCACTTGCCATGAGAATTAAAAGTGTGGAAGCCCCGGTGTCGGAAGTGCCACATACCTGTTGTCATACCAGCTTCTTTAGTGTTGTCATCTCCTGACAACTCTAGGAGGCAACGTTCTATTCCTCATTTATAGTGGAGACTGAGATTAAGCCTTGGGATACACTGCTGTTTGATGTCCCTCAGCCCACAGTGGCCGTGGCCCTGGGAAGCCTCATCCTCCTCCTCTGTGGGAAGCTCTACCCACCCTAGCCGTATGTGAATACAGTGCTGAGGATACAGATTCCTTGGCAAGAACATTTCATTCCAGAAAGGGAACATATTTTTGTAACTACAGGTAGTTATACATTTTGCTCTCTGGAATCTTTTCTTTTTAAACTTCAGTTCTGATTGCACCAGGAGAATACCAGTTGTGAATTGGCCGTCTTTCTTCTCTAGCCTGTGAGGATAGGATGCTGCCCCTTGAGCTATTTGGTAGCTCCAGGGCAAGGGAAGTAGATAAACAAATTGTGTTACCTAACCTCTCTGTTTTCTCATCTGTAAGACAGGATTATTACTAGTCCTACCTGCTTTATAATAATACTTAAGAGGCTGAGGCAGAAGGATCATTTAAACCCAGGAACTTGAGGTGCTGCTGTAAGCAATATTTGCACCACTATATTCCAGCCTGGACAACAGAGTGAGACTTTCTCTAAAGAGAGAAAAGAAAAGAAGGATGTTGCTGAAGGAGTAAAAGAGTTTATGCATATAAAGCATTTAGAACACTGCCTGCCATCTCGTGAACACGTGGTAAACGTTAGCCACTGTTGTTACAGTCGGATGCACCAGTGTGAGTCTGTCCAGGACAACCTGAGTTCAGGTCTGGACTTGCCCCCTCTTGAGATCTTAGCTTGAGGCTTCTCTCCTTGTCCTTTCTGGTATGTAAACTTAAGGCCTCTTTGGAGCATGTTGACATTCACATGTGTATTTGTGATGTTTATAGATGTGTGTGTACAGATGTATACATACGTGTGTATGTAAATCATTTTTAAGTTGCCTTCTGTAAGGCGGGACCATTTTGTAACTTCCTTGGAGATACAGAAGAGCATCCAACTCCCTAGGGTGTTTTGTCAAACCTTGTGTTTTTGCCAATCTGCTGAGTGAAAAAAATGTTATCTCAACATAATTTAATGCGTTTCTCAAAGTTACGTATCCCATCATATGGATAAGAGCCATTTGTATTTCTTCTGTCGGCTTTTATGAGTTTTATCTGTTTCTAATTGCACCATTGATCTCTTTTTAATTGGACTTCTCCAGTTCTGGAAGTTCTGTAATATTAGGGAGAATGGTCCTCTGTGATATGAGTTGCAGGTTGTCTCCTCAGTTTTGTCTTGTTTTTTGACTTTCCTTAGGTGCTCTTTATTTCTTAGGATGTGGTTTTAAATAAGTGAAGACAGTTAACTGACTTGTGTTTCCCCCTTTGTCTTTTTGTTTTTGATTAGGAACCTGGCTGCTGTACCTGCCGTGCACTTGGAGCATTGGTTTGGCTGCCGAACCAGGTTGTTTTCCAGATTGGTACATGCTGTCCCTCTTTGGCACCGGAGCCATTCTGATGCGTGGAGCAGGCTGTACTATTAATGACATGTGGGACCAGAACTACGATAAAAAGGTAGTTTCGTCCTGGAGAGGGATAGAAAGGCTCCTCTCAATCCTGCGGAATAACATGGTGGCATCACCTTTGAATGACACATACAGCAATGAGATCCTTTAATGCCCTCACTGAAATCCGGCGTGGGAAGTGCTGGTTTTAGTTAAGTAGCTGGTGTTGCAAAGGGCAGTGGATAGTTCTTCCTTTCTCAGCACAAGAGTGGCCACAGAGGCAAGGTGTGTACTTCATTTTTACAAAGTAAATTAAGAATTTGTTAGCTGGGCACATTGGCTCATGCATGTAATCCCAGCACTTAGGATTACGAAGCTGGAGGATTGCTTGAGGTCAGGAGAAATTCAAGACCAGCTTGGGTCTCATACAAGACCCTGCCTCTACACAATAATAAAAAAAAAAGAAGTCGGGCTCAGTGGCTCAGCCTGTAATCCCATGCCTTGGGAGGCTGAGGTGAGTGGATTGCCTGAGCCCATGGGTTCGAGACCTGCCTGGACAACTTGGCGAGACCTCATCTCTACAATAAATCAAAAAAATTAGCTGGGCATGGTAGCACGCACCTGTAGTTCCGGCTCCTTGGAAGGCTGAGGCGGAAGGATTGCCAGAGCCCAGCAGGTCAAGGCTGCGGTGGCTGGGAGCTGCCACTGCACTCCAGTCTGGGTGACAGAGTGAGACTCCAACTCAAAAAAAAAAAAAAAAAAAAAAGAACTGGGCACAGTGGTGTGTGCTTGTAGTTCTAGCTACTCAGGAGGCTGAGATGGATCCCTGAGCCCAGCTGTGGTGATCAGTGATTACACCACTGCACTCCAGCCTGGGCAACAGCAAGACCCTGTCTCTAAAATACAAAAAAATACTGCATTAAAATAATTTGGAAGACTGAAGGTGAAGGAGTTAGAGGCAGGAGTGAATGTGAAAAATCCATTCTGAATCTTTGAGTATCCAGAAGATCTGTCATCCCTTCCTCTGAGATGTATTTTGGAGCCCTGACCTCTCCTATGTAAATCAAATGTTAATTTAAATGAACCTTGGTAGCCCTGTTTAGCATGGACTATAATTATTTCTTTTAAAAGCATTACTATATTCCTTTTTTTCTCCTTAGAAAAATAATACACACTTAATCTGAACAATTCAGAAAGCACAGAAATGTGAAGGACAAAGTACAATCATCCTTGTCTCTTTCCCCATTCCAAGAGGAAACTTTAGTTAGCAGTTTGATGCATTGCGTTTCTTAGCATTATTTTCTGTACATATCCCAATACATATATGTCATTATTTCTGTGTTCATCAACAGACTGTTATTTTCCCGAGGGAAGATGCCATCTTATTTGCCTTTTGTTCTAACAGCTGTGCCAGATTAGTATAAGATCGTTAAATGCTTGATAAATAATCAAGTGAACCTTGAATGTAAAAGAAACCCATACTGAATTATATGAAGTCAATAATCTTATATAAGCTTATAGTAAATAATCACCCCTAGCTTGCCTTTCATATAGTCTGAATTTTCCTTAAGCAAGGCATATATGTAACAATTTTTAGTTTATGGAACAGTCACATTAATACATTTTTTTAATTCAAACAACATCTACTGAGTGCTTGCTGTATGTGAGACCAGGGACAGATTCTGGGATTGTGTGGATGAAACACATTCCTGACCTCAGGGTTAGCCACTAGGATGTGGTGAAAATGTTCACCTGAACTTACTGGGGACTACCCACCTCAACCACAGAGAGGGAGTCAGAGAGAACTTTCCAGGCAGGGCTGACCTTTGAACTCTGTCGGAATAGGCTGGTAAAAAGAGTGGACTGGAGGGTGAAGGTTACTCTAGGAGGGAACAGCAGATGCAGAACAGGGCTGTGAGGTTAGTATGTGTTTGACAATTGCAACTATTGGGGTTGCATGTGGCTGGAGGGCAGGGTTTAGGGCAGCAGTGGCAGAGGCTGTGTGACAAGCATCTTCGTGCCATACTGACACAGGTGGGTTGCCTGGGCTTGCCAAGAGGGTTACACTTCCTTGATTTTGGGTCACACCTGATCAGTTTTTCTTTTTGCATACTGAACAAATAAGAATTCTGGCTTACATCACTTCAGAATAACTTGGACATGTTTAGAATAGTTAAATCATTTTTTTAAAATTTGCTAACTCAGGATAAGCCTTCCAGAAAATGGAAAATAGTGATATAAAATGAGTAACTTATGAGGCGTGGGTCTGTTTAGAGAAGTGAACAATTGAGATTAAGTGTTTGAAGAGCATTTTGTTCTGCAAAACATACAAAAACTAATCTAAGACCCCTGACTTTGGTGGATAGGAAATTTGAAGATGAATTGCAAACTTATAATTTCTGAGTTGCTTTATCCTTCTTGATAGGCAGAGTCTACTCTAAAAGTTTCAGTCAGTCCCACACTTTTGACTAGGAGTAAAACTACATACATTTTGACTTCTGCTTCTAGGAAGATGGAGTAGATGTATTTTCCCTATTCTTCCTACTAAGTATGACTAAAACCCCCAACATGGGACTGTGGAGAGTAGGTGGCAGACTGGCATCCAAAGAACAACACTGTGGCTTTTTTTTTTTTGGCCTCTTATGTCTCATTTGGAATTAAAGAAGCCAGCAACCTGTAAATGCCATTGGGCATAGAAGGAAAAAATGCCCACTTGGCAGGTATCAGTGAACAAGTGGGGACCTTGTTCCAGGTAGGGACCTTGAACTTCTAATCCCACCACTGCCTCTGGCTAGAGCAGTGTCAGAAAAAGCCAACAAAGACAGAAGGTTTAAATAAGATCCTCAGTCTAATGGTATAGTACCTAAAGTGTCCAGGTTTCAATTTAAAATCACTCATCATACCAAGAACTAGGAAAATCTCAGCTTGAGTGAAAAAAAGATAATCAGTAGTTGAGTAACACTGAGATGGCAGAGGTGTTAGAATTACCTGGCAAGAGGTAATTACCTGGTTCACGCCTATAATCCCAGCACTTTGGGAGGCTGAGGCGAGAGGACTGCCTGAGCCCAGGGGTTTGAGACCAGCCTGTGCAACATGACAAGACCTCGTCTCTGCAATAAATCAAAAAATTAGCCGGGTGTGATGGTGCTTGCCTGTAGTTCCAGCCACTTGGAAGACTGAGGTGAAATGATCACCTAAGGTCAAGACTGTGTTAGCCGTGAGTGTACCACTGCACTCCGGCCTGAGCAGCAGAGTGAGACTCCAATTCAAAAAAAAAAAAAAAAATTACCTGGCAAGGATTTTTAAAGCTGTGATCATAAATATATTTCGGTGCACAATTAGGACTGTGCTTGAAATAAATGAAAAATATCAGGTCTCAACAAAGAAATTGAAAATATTAAGGAGAACCAAATAGAAATCTCAGAACTGAAAAAGTTCAGTGGATTGGCTCAACGCAGAATGAAGGAGGCAAAGAGAAGGGTCAGTGAACTGGATAGAGACCCATAGAAACTGTACAATCTGGAACACAGAAAATAAACTGAAAAAAATGAACCGAACCCCAGAACCCGTGGACTATAGCAAATGATCGAACATTGTTTTATCAGTCTTGGAAAGAGGATGAGGCTGAAAAATGCCTGAAGAAATAATGACTGGAAAAATCCCAAATTTAGCAAATTTGGTAACAAATCTGCATATTAAAGAAAATGAGCAAACTCCAAAAATGATAGACACAAATCCACACCAAGATAAGCATGATCAAACCTCTGAAAACTAAAGAAAATATTAAGATCTTGAAAGTTGTGAAAAATACCAAGAGCACAGGCCATAAAAGAAAAAATTGATAAATTAGACAAAACAAATTTTGATCTGTGAAAGACCTCGTTAAGAGGATCAAAAGATAAGCTACACACCAGGAGAAAATATTTGCAAACTACACATCCAGCAAAAGACTCGTATCCAGAATATATAGAGAACTCTTAAAACACACAATTTTTAAAGTTTTGGGTTAGAAAATAAGTAAAGATAGTTCACCAAAGAGGATATACAGATTGCAAACACATTCAACATCTTTAACCTTCATGGAAATGCAAAATTTTTTTTTTTTTTTTTGAGTTGGAGTCTCACTCTGTCACCCAGACTGGAGTGCAGTGGCTGCTCCTGGCCACCGCAGCCTCGACCTGCTGGGCTCTGGCGATCCTTCCGCCTCAGCCTTCCAAGTAGCCGGAATTACAGGCATGCGCTACCACGCCCGGCTCATTTTTTGATTTATTGTAGAGATGAGGTCTGGCTGCCCAGGCGGGTCTCGAACCCGCGGGCGCAGGCAATCCACTCCCCTCAGCCTCCCAAAGGCACGGGATTACAGGCTGAGCCAGCGAGCCTGGCAGAAATGCAAATTAAACTACAATGAAGTATGGCTGCAAACCTATCAGAATGGCTAGGGTAAAAATTAGTGACAGCACTAAATGCTGGCCAGGGTGCAGAGAAACCGAATCACTCACACTTTGCTGGTGGGAAGGTGGAGTGGTATGGCCACTCTGGAAAGGATTGGGAGTGGTGTGTGTGTTTAATCTAAACATGCAACTACCGTACAACTCAACAGTTTATTCCTGAGCATTTATCCCAGAGAAATGAAAGTGTATGCTCACATAAAAACTTGTACATGAATGTTTATAGCTACTTTACTTGTAATAACCTCAAACTGGAAACAATATATCCTTCAGTGGGTGAATGGTTAAACAATGTATGGTACCTCCTGTTCATGGAAAATACAGCAATAAAGGGAATAAACAATTGACACAAATCTCTAGAGAATTATGCAGAGAGGAACAAAAAGCCAATCTGGAAAGTTTACATTATATGGTTCCATTTCTATAACATTCTTGAAATGAGAACATCATAGAAATGATAGATTGCCTGGGCAACTTGGCGAGACCTCATCTCTACAATAAATCAAAAATTAGCCAGGTGTGGTAGCGCACGCCTGTAGTTCCAGCTACTTGGAAGGCTGAGGCGGAAGGATCGCCGGAGCCCAGCGGGTCGAGGCTGTGGTGGCCTGGAACGGCCACTGCACTCCAGTCTGGGTGACAGTGAGACTCCAAAAAAAAAAGAAAGAAAGAAAGAAAGAAATGGTAGATAAGGAGGGGGTGGAGGTGGGAGGAGAACGGGTGTGGCCAACAGGACAAATGAGGGGTCTTTGTGGTGATGGCAGTGTCATGGATCTGTTCATGGCAGAATCCTGCTTGTGAGAGGGATTGTACTGTAGTGTTTTTTCTTGTTTTGTTTTGTTTTTGTTTTTGAGTTGGAGTCTCACTCTGTCACCCAGACTGGAGTG